GGCTCTGACCCGCGGCGCCTGTCTGTGCCGCCCCCGCCCGCAGCGCCCCGGGATGCCGTCTGGAGCGCGGATGCCCCACCAGGGGGCGCCCATGGGTCCCCCGGGCTCCCCGTTCCTGGGCAGCCCCGCCGTGCGACCCGGCCTGGCCCCCGCGGGCATGGAGCCCGCCCGCAAGCGAGCAGCGCCCCCGCCCGGGCAGAGCCAGGCCCCGAGCCAGGGCCAGCCGGTGCCCACCGCCCCCGCGCGGAGCCGCAGGTGAGTGGGGGGCGGGGGGCGGCCGGGAGGGGCGGGGCGGGGCGCCCGCGCGGCCGCCGCGGCCCGGGGGGCGCCCCCTGGGGAGGGGGCGGCGGGGGCGCCGGCCGCTCCCTTTGTGTGCCCGCCGTCGGGACGCGGACGGCGGCCGTCGCGCCCCGCCGGCCCGGTCACCTGCGCCGTCCCGCCTCCCCGCCCGCCGGGCTCGGGGATGCGGTCCGGTGGGGGCGGGGCGTGTCCCCCCGCGTGGCCGTCCCGGAGCGCCAAATCTAAACCCGAATCCCGGGCGGGGGGTGGAGCCTGGCGGCGGGCCCGGCGGGCGGGTGGTCGCGGCCCGGGGCTGCTGGACCTCGCGCGTGTCCGAGCCGGCCGCTGCACCCCGAGGCCCTGCTGCCCCTCGCCCCGGAGTTGGTGGACGCGCGCGCCCGTCCCGGCGCCCCGGGCGGGCAGCGGGCGCGGCGCGATCCGGCTTTTCTGCTTCTTTTTCTTTTCTTTCTTTCTTTCCTTTTTTTCTTTTTTTTTTTTTTTGCGCACCGAGGACTCTCCCCTGACCGGACTCTCCTGATGAGGAAGTCTTTAGCCACCTGAGTGGTCCCTGTAGACAGTGAGCGAGTCCCCGGGTTATCTCAGACGGACAGGTTCTCGGGGGTGATCGGTGTGCCCCGCCTGTGAGACCTTTGCGGGAAGACCTGCCTGGCCTTAAAATTCAAAAAGAATTTTTGGACGAGGGGGCAGCGGTCGCGCCCACCGCAAGGGGGCACTGCGCAACCGCCCTTGCAGCCGGGCTCGGGGCCTTCTGGGGCGCACGGGGAGCCCGAGCCCCATCGCCCTCCCAGGGGCAGACACTCGCCGGGCGCCGCGGGGGCACGCTCTCTCGAGATCCCCGGGTGCCTGGGGCCCGGGGGCCCCGTCTCGAGGTGCAGCAGGGGTCCCGTCCTCCCGCCCCCTCGGGCCGCTGCGGATCGGGGGTCCCAGCCAGACCCCGGAACTGCCCTCCCGCCCCCGCCCGCTCCCGCTCGGGGTGGGCTGCACGGGGACCCTCAGGCCACGGAGCGGCCGGGTGCCCGCTGCGCCCCGCGCCGGCGCCGCGGCGGACCCCAGCCGGCGGGGGGAGATGTCGGGATAATTTAGCAGGTGGCCTCGTTACTCCCAGATCTGTCGCCATGGTAACCTGTTTTTTTCTTTAAAAAATGTACAGTGCCAAGAGGAGGAAGATGGCTGACAAAATCCTCCCTCAGAGGGTGAGTCCGGCCTGCAGCCCCGGCCCCTCCTGCTCCCCCCCTGCCTCCCGCTGCGCCCAACACTCACTGCCACTTTTTTTGTTTCAAAAAGCTCATTAAGAAGTGGGGCTCCCCAGGCCAGAGGAGGAGGGGTGGGGTGGAGAGGAGGGGAGCCCCCAGGGTGGGAACAGGGTGCCCAAGACGGCCTCCAGCCCTCTGAGATGGACAGGCATTGGACAAAGAGGGACAATTAGCGGCAACTTGGGACTCAAGAGGCCGGTGCGAGGGCCTAGGAGCTGCAGAGTGGCTGGCACCTTGCGGCCACTCACTCGCAGGACCAGCTGGGGATGAGGCAGCACAGCTGGGGCACCCCAGGCAGTGACTGGGTTTGGGGACAAGGTGTGGAGGGGGGCGGAAATCAGCTCGCCCTCTGTCTCAGGGAGCCCAGGTCCCACCCACGTTCAGGGAAGCTCTGGGCAGGTGACCAGGGGATGCTGGATGAGGTCAGGCAGGCCAGCCTCCCCGGGGCCTGGCGAGAGGCCCCAGCACAGGCCAGTGGCCCTGACGAGACTGCCCGCGCCCTCCCTCCAGATCCGGGAGCTGGTCCCCGAGTCCCAGGCTTACATGGACCTCCTGGCATTCGAGAGGAAACTGGATCAGACCATCATGCGCAAGCGGGTGGACATCCAGGAGGCGCTGAAGAGGCCCATGAAGGTGCCGTGGCTTGGGGGCAGGAGGGCTGGACCGCCCTGTCAGCGGGCGAGGCGGGGGAGGGGGTGTTGGCCCGAGGAGGCCGGCCGCCCACACACAGCCCGTGCCCTGGCCCACCCTGTTTCCAACAGCAAAAGCGGAAGCTCCGTCTTTATATCTCCAATACGTTTAACCCTGCAAAGCCGGACGCAGAGGACTCGGACGGCAGCATCGCTTCCTGGGAGCTGCGGGTGGAGGGAAAGCTCCTGGATGATGTAAGCCCTGGCGCAAGGCTCGGGGTGTCCCGGTGGGGACGGGCAGGCGGCCACTCCAGGTGTGAGGCTTGGACTAACCGTTAGGCTCTCGGCGCCGGCTCCTGCTGCGCGGCCCCGCCCCCGGCCCCGCCCCGCCCCAGCGTCCCGGTCCTTCTCGCACAGCCCAGCAAACAGAAGCGGAAGTTCTCGTCCTTCTTCAAGAGTCTAGTCATTGAGCTGGACAAGGACCTTTACGGCCCGGACAACCACCTGGTCGAGGTAAGAGCCGGGCTCTGCCGGCCGTCCGCTGCAGGGACTGGGGCGCGGGGCCACCCCAGAGTCGCAGGCCCCGCCCCCATCCCGCTGTCCCCCCTCCCCCTCCCCCGCCCAGTGGCACCGGACGCCCAGCACGCAGGAGACCGACGGCTTCCAGGTGAAGCGGCCCGGGGACCTGAGCGTGCGCTGCACGCTGCTACTCATGCTGGACTACCAGGTGCGCGGCCGCGCCCCCCCCCACCCTGCCCCACCCCCCTGGCCTCCCCCTCACGGCCACCTCCTCCCAGCCCCCCCAGTTCAAGCTGGACCCCCGCCTGGCCCGGCTGCTGGGGCTGCACACGCAGAGCCGGTCGGCCATCGTGCAGGCCCTGTGGCAGTACGTGAAGACCAACCGGCTGCAGGACTCCCACGACAAGGAGTACATCAACGGGGACAAGTATTTCCAGCAGGTACCGCGAGGCGGCCGGCCGGTGGGGGGAAGGGACGCCAGAGTGCCAGAGTCTCAGCTTGCCGCCAGGGTGCTAACGGGGTACCAACAGCCACGCCCCCCACCCCGCCCCCGGGGACGCTGGGTCAGGAATTCCCATTTCCCCGAAGGTGTGAGTGAGCTGAGAAAATTCTAGCGCGGCTGAGCTGGTGAGTAATTCAGCTTCCAGAGAACACGGCAGGCAGCGCGGGGCGGCGCAGAGCCCAGTCTGCTCTGCTCCCCAGCACCCGAAGGTGCCCCCCACACACCCCTGGGTTGAGCCCCGAGCACAGAGCCAGGGCTGGCGACACTGGCTGTGGCCAAAAAAAAAAAAACACTGGACAGAGCAGAGAAGGCCGCGGTGTTTATTGCGCTCAGCGCCCGTGCGGGCTCTCTCCAGGGCGGCTAGGGAGGCAAGGTGGTCGCTCATGGCCCCAACCCCCGGCCCCCTGAGTTCAGCTGACGCTGGGACGACGTCGGGCCCCCCAGGGCCAGCCTCTCTACCCGCACACATCTCTCCCTCCTGCTGCAGATTTTTGACTGTCCCCGGCTGAAGTTTTCCGAGATTCCCCAGCGCCTCACCGCTCTGCTCCTGCCCCCTGACCCCATCGTCATCAACCACGTCATCAGGTGAGGCCCCTGGCGTCCTGTCCTGCCCTGCCCCTCCCCCGGCCTCCCCGCAGCCGGCCCGTGCTGGCCCCGAGCGGCCTCTGCTTGGACCCCACGGGCTGGCCTTCCCGACAGCGTGGACCCGTCCGACCAGAAGAAGACCGCGTGCTACGACATCGACGTGGAGGTGGAGGAGCCGCTCAAGGGGCAGATGAGCAGCTTCCTCCTGTCCACGGCCAACCAGCAGGAGATCAGTGCCCTGGACAGTAAGGTGGGCCCCAGCCCGGAAGTGACCCGGGACGGGCGGGCGGATGGACACGCACACCCAAGCCCAGGCACTGCCTGCCCCCCTGCCCGACAGGCGGTGGGGCCCGAGGCCACCCGCCTGGCGGCCCCGCCCCGCGTCACCAGGTGGAAGATGTGTCTTTCTACCTGCAGATCCACGAGACGATCGAGTCCATCAACCAGCTGAAGATCCAGAGGGATTTCATGCTGAGCTTCTCCAGAGACCCCAAAGGCTACATCCAGGACCTGCTGCGATCCCAGAGCCGGGACCTCAAGGTGACGGGGCCGGGCGCTCCGGCGCGAGAGGCGGCTGTCCGGCTGTTGGGGGGGTGCCAGGGTGATCACCCCACTGCTCGCTCGCAGGTCATGACAGACGTCGCGGGCAACCCTGAGGAAGAGCGCAGGGCCGAGTTCTACCACCAGCCCTGGTCCCAGGAAGCCGTCAGCCGCTACTTCTACTGCAAGGTGGGGAGGGCTCCGTGTCCCGCCCGGCCCCTGGCCCCAGCGCCCCTCCGGAGAGGCTCCCCAGCACTCACCAACCCCTTCCTGCTCTCAGATCCAGCAGCGCAGGCAGGAGCTGGAGCAGTCACTGGTGGTACGGAACACCTAGGAGCCCCGCGGACGAGCACCGAGAGCCCAGCGCCGTCCGCCCGCGCTACCCCGTGGCCGCCGCCGCTTCCGGGGAGACGAAGCGGGGCCGGATTAAAGGTCGTTCATCTGGTAGCCGCCGCCGTGTGGTCATTCGCAGAGGGGAGGGAGGGGGGAGGGAGGGAGGGGGGAGGGGCAGGCAGTGGGTCCCCGGGGAAGACGCTGCGCTCCCCCTCCAGTGCTGCTCCTGACTCCGTTTCCCTAGACCTAAGCACAGTTTGGCAGAAAACATGTTTAATAACGTTTTCTTATTAAAAAAAGAAAAAGACAGCACCGAGCGCTCCATCTGTCCGCGCATTCCTCCGTCCTCCCGCCGGCCGGCCACGCGGCCGGCTATGTGCTGTTGGCCTGCTCCTGCTCGAACAGGGCCATGGCCAGCTGCGCGCGCGCGCCCAGCCCCTCCAGGTTGCTGAGGCGGCAGCGGTGGTACAGCTCCTCGCTCAGCCGCGGGCTGCACTCGCGCACCGAGAACTTCTGCACCAGCCCCGGCTCCACGGCGCGGAAGAGGTGCAGCCCCGAGAACCGCAGGAAGACGTCCATCACCTCCAGCCCCTCCAGGGCCTCCTCCTCCTCCGGGCCGGGCAGCTCGGCCGCCAGCCGCGCCCGCGCCGCCAGGTAGTCGCTGTTGTAGAAGCAGCCCTCGGCCGACGCCTGCCGGTCGAACCTGCCCCCCGCGGGGCTGCCCCGCGCCGGGTCGCCGCCGGGAGGGGAGGGGGGGTCGGGGCCCGCGCCCGCGCCCCCCGCGGGCGGCCGCTGCGGGGCCAGGGCCGGGTTGAACTCCTGGAAGTGGATGGGGAAGAAGGCCTGCCAGCCCGCGATGGCGTTCATGCGGCAGCGGTTCAGCACCTCGGGGCTCGGCCGGGTCCGCACGGTGGTGAGGAAGAAGAGGGTGTCCACGGGGTGCTTCTTGGACACCACGTCCATGAGGCGCACCTGCGACGGGGCCTCGGCGCGCACGGCCAGCCAGGCCAGCCGGGCGCCCGGGTGGCGGCGCTCCAGCTCGGCCGCCGCCGCCTTCACGCCCACGAAGGGGTCGGGGGCGCCGCGGCCGCCGTCCCGCGGGCCGTAGACCAGCAGCAGCGTGAGCAGCGCGTGCTCGCGGGGCGCCAGGACGCCCGCCGCGAAGGCCTCCAGGAAGGCGGGGGCGGCCGCCGCCTCGGCGCCCGGCAGCGGCAGCACCAGCTGCACGCGCGTGGCCTCGGTGACGTAGGGCACCGGCAGGATCTCCACGCGGCTCAGCGGCCGCAGCAGGCTGACCCGGCGCGCCAGCGCCCGCCGGTGGCCCCGCTGCGTCACGGCCTCCAGCAGCAGGTCCAGCGTGTACTCCATGCCCCGCACCGGGTCGAAGCGCCGGTAGCCGTTGAGCAGCCGCTGCTTCTGGAAGCGCAGGCGCGGCTGGTAGCGCCGGTTCAGCTGCTCCAGGGCCGTGTCCACGGCGTTGCCCACGTCGGCGCGGCTGGCCCCCTGCAGCGGGCACTTGGGCGCTCCGTCGGCGCAGGAGAAGGTGTGCTGCTCCGTGAAGTAGTCCCAGCCCAGCACCTCGAAGCGCGAGCGCGGCCGGAAGGGCGCCGGGAGGCCCACGGGCCAGCTCAGCCCCGCCTCCCCTTCCGGGGTCAGCGCCGTCAGGTTCCGGATCTGAGCCTGGGGGTGGGGGGGGACGGTCAGAGTCAGCCAGGTGCCAGGGACCCACCCGGAGCGCAGACCTGGCAGAAAGGGGCAGCACCCGGGAGATGTTTTCCCAGCACACCGCACTGGGATGCCCAGGCACCCAGAGACCCATCCTCTGCCTTGGGGCGCTGAGGTCAGTCCCTCAGTGACGATGAGTGAGGTCAGGGTCTCCTTAGCGAGGAGTTCAGATCCCTTAGGCCCATGGAGTTCAGATCCCTGAGCCACCCCCCTCCCCACCCTCCCTCCTGCAAATCCCCTGCAGCTGGGGTGCAGTTCCCAGGGGGCACTCCCCTCAGCTGGGGTGCAGTTCCCAGGGGAACCCCCTTAGCTGGGGTACAGTTCCCAGGGGCAGTTCCCTCAGCGGGGTGCAGTTCCCAGGGGCACTGCCCTGCAGTTGGGGTGAAGTTCCCTGGAGCAGTTCCCTCAGCTGGGGTGCAGTTCCCTGGGGCACTCCCCTCAGCTGGGGTGCAATTCACAGGGGCAGTCCCTTCAGCTGGGTGCAGTTCCCAGGGGCACTCCCCTGCAGCTGGGGTGCAGTTCCCAGGGGCAGTCCCACCAACTGGGGTGCAGTTCCCAGGGGCACTCACCTGCAGCTGCTCGATCTCATTGTAGGCACGCTCCAGCTCCAGCGCACTGAAGCGTTTGTGCAGCCGGTACATGAGGTTTCCCTCTGAAACAGGGTGCACGGCAAAGGCACTCAGGAAAGCCGGGCTCCCCTCCTTCTCGGGGTCCCTGTTCTTGGCCAACTCAAACGAGTGGTACTGCTGCCCCTGGAGGAACAGTGACAGGTCGGTGGCACTCCCTGGGCCCCAACCCACTCAGCCCCATTCCCGCGCATCACCGAGTCCCCAGAGAGGAGGTTGCTCAGGGCCCTGACCTTGCTTTCACCATGGGGTGTGTTGCTTCATTTTGTGATTCGGGGTCAGGGCTGACTCCTGACTGTATTCAGGAGTGACTCCCAGTGGGGCTCGGGGGTCCCTGTGTGGTGCTGGGGCTGCACTCTCACTGAGGCCTGCCAGCAGGCTTTGAGAAAGCAGTTAGGGCAGCGAGGAAGGTTCTCTCCGGCGAACCCCAAGCTCCTCAAGGGAACAGACGCCCTCGTCTGGGGTCAGTCCCCTCTTTTCCTGTCAGCAGCTCAGGGCTGGTGCTGAGCCAGGAGAGGGTCCCCATGGGTGGTGACACACGGCAGGACTGGCATGGGGGCTGGGGGCACATGCACCGAGGGCGGGGAGCGCCGGTGAGGGACCTACTCTGGAACCTTCTGCCTCTGAGGCCCTTCGGATCCGCAGTGGCCCCTGGAGACCCACCACCCCACACAAGCTGGGGGACGGGGACAGGACGCGGCCGTCACCTGGTGCTGCGAGACGCAGCCGACGCCCAGGGAGTCGATGAGGCAGCGGCCCAGCCACTCGTCGGGCCGGGCACTGAGGATGTCCCCTCGGCAGCCGTCCAGGTGTGGCCGCAGGCGCAGCAGGAGGCTCCTGGACAGGAGGTAGCCGAAGCCCCCGTGGCAGTAGCGGGCCTGCTCGCCCGCGCCGATGAACTCCTCGGGCCGGCCCAGGTACAGGTCCTGGTTGATGCTGAGGTGGCCGGTCAGGGCGGCCAGGCGGGGGGCCTGCACGTACGTGTCGTCCTGCATGACGAAGAACCAGTCGTAGTCGGCTCCGAAGTGCGTGTGCAGGTAACGCAGCGTCTCCGACATGAGCCAGGCCGGGCGCTCGTCGCCGTGGGACACCACCTGCATGCCGGCCGGCACCCGGGCCCCCCGCTGCCCGGTGAAGTAGAGCAACCGCGGGAAGTGGTGGGCCACCGTGCGGTTCACGGCCACGGCCAGCGTGGACAGCGTGGCCCGGGAAGTGAGAACCGCCACCAGCAGCCGCTCCCGGGAGCCCAGCTCCGTCTGGATGTAGCGGGTCCTGCAGAGACCAGCGTGGACTGTGCGTCAGTACTGCCGGGGACACACAACGCACTGTGACAGCAGCCGCCGGGTTCAGGCAGCTCCTGGCAGCTGGGGGAGCCCAGGCTAAGGAAGAGGAGCCAAGACTGCCACCTCGGTACCCAACCAGGGGCTGGCACTGATCTGGGGCTAAGGGCCGGGCAAGTTCCATCCCGCTCAGGAACATAGAATGATGATTTAACACCAACGTGTGAGACTTCTTAGACCTGACGGGGGACACTGAGGAACAAACTGGTACCAAGGCATAGAAGTGGGGCAGGGATGGCGCTGAGAGGTAGACCCTATCCTCTGCAGACACAGGACCTGGGTTCAACCCCCGGCACCATATAAAAAGCAGAGAGAACCCAAGGCAAACGCTCCCCACGGGGCTGGACACCCGGACTCGGGAAGGCGGAGGCCAGGATTCGAGGTCGCTGGCAGGAGTGTGGGAACCACACCCACACACACGCCCACACACTAGCTCTCACCTGAGCACCTTCTTGTAGGGCTTATTGGGGTCCCTATAGTAGGGGACAATCCGCGGCTTGAAGTCTTCATCGCTTTGGTCCAGCCGCCACCTTGCGGCGGGGTTCTGCCGCCCTCCCGGCTGCCCCACAGGCTCCTCGCAGGGGTCTGGGCCCTCCCCCTGGATCCAGGAAACCCGCAAGAGGCTCAGGCTGCAGCCCAGGGAGAGCCCGAGGATGAGGGGCAGCGCTGGGCGCAGCAGCGCCAACAGCGCGTTCAGGCGCATGGCCGTGCCACGTGGAGCCCCGAAACCTCAGCTCGAGGGCCGGGGTGCACCCAGGCCCGGCAGCCCCTGGGAGGTCCACCCTGCGTCCGTCCCGACCGGGCGGCCTGGGGTCCGGTCATGCAATCAAGGCGGCGGGCAGCGTCGTGTCCGTCTTCCAGCAGAAGGGGAGCAAAATAAAACTCAGTCCTGCGGACCCTCGCCCCCAAGGGGGCCCGCGCGGGTGTGGAGTCGCAGCCACGGGCGAGGAAGGGATGGGTGGTGGGCGGGGGGCTGGGGGAGCTACCGGTTCGGCAAAAACCACACCGCGGCCCGCAGAGCCGGCCTCCTCCTCCTCCTCCTCCTCCTCCCGGGACGCCCCCCAACCCCCGGGGGGCTGCAGCGGGGCGGGGGGCGCGGCCTCCGGGGTCCTTTGCACCGGTCCTGCTCCCGCGCGGGGCTGCTGGCGGCGCGGGCCAGCGAGGGGGTCGACGCGGGTGACTCAAGCGCCGGCGGACCCCGGGGTCCCGGGGCGGGGGGCTCCCCTTGCACCCCCGGCCGGGCGGGGCGGGCGCGGCGCCGGCTCTACCTCTCGGCCATCGGGGCCGGCCGCCCAGGGTCCGGCAGGAAAGCGCGGCCGCGGGCGTGGGCACGGGGACACGGGCGCGGCGCCCCCGGACGCCCTCCGGAAGGGGCAGCTGGGGAAGGGGCACGGACCCGGGGCCAGCGCCGCCGCCGAAGCCGCTGCCACCTCACCGGCCGGCGCGCACCCCTTCCTCTTCCGCCAGCCGGCCGGCCCGTCTCTATGGTGACCGCATCCGGCCGCTCTCTCCCGCCGCCTCCTCTCGGTGGTCGGCCGGTCCGCGCACGCGCGCTGCGGAGGAGGCCGGGCCCGCCCGGCGCGGGGTGCCCAGCGGGTGCCGATCCCCAGGCGGGCACCTGCGGGTCCGACTGGGCTCCGTTGGCTCGGGCCTCCTCCCCGCCGTGGAACGCGTCTTGGCCGCCCCGCAACCGATGTTTCCCGGTGGGCGTCGGGCCCCAAGGGTCCGACTCGGGCTGCTTTTACAAGAGTCGGTGGTGCCTGGCCCTGCCCGTGTCCGAGCTGGGCATGGTCCCTGGGGTGCTGACGATGGATGCGTTCGACCAAACGAAGCCCCGAGGGGGAAATCTCAAACCGTCATAAGCATCGCTGCACAAAAAAAAAAAAAAAAAAAAAAAGGTACGGTCCAGGACAGCAGGAACGAAACTGAATTGGAATTTGGAGGTGACGACGGGGTCCATAGATTCACCAAGAACCCGAACCGAACGTGGAGACGGGCTTTCCAGGCCAAGAGCAAGGCTCCGAGGTCAGGGGAGAAAGAGAAAGACGAGAGTCTTGGGGCTAGAGAGGACAGGCGCGCTTCCTTCGCACTTGTCCAGCCCAGGTTTGATTCCTGTTCAGCACATGCCGGCACCCAAGCTCGGCTAGGAGCCATCCCTGAGCACCTGGAGTCTGAACTGAGCACTGTTGGATTAACACAAAACCCAAGCAAACGAGAGCAGAGACAAAAAGGCTGGTGAGAGAAGAAAACGATGGTTATGAAGGAACCCTATCAGCCCTAGCAGCAGTTTGGAAGTGTATCGGACAGGGATAGTTTTGCTGTCAGAATGCTGGGGGGAGAGGGGAGAAGTAGGATACAGGTATCATGCATATTGCAAGGTAGCATCACACACACACACACACACACACACACACACACACACACCCCGAATTCTCCCATAGAACTTTTTTTTGGGGGGGATCACACCCGGCGATGCACAGGAGTTACTCCTGGCTCTGCACTCAGGAGTTACTCCTGGCGGTGCTCAGGGGACTATATGGGATGCTGGGAATTGAACCTGGGTCGGCTGCATGCAAGGCAAATGCCCTACCTGCTGTGCTATTGCTCCAGCCCTCCCTGACTTCAAACTGTATTACAAAACAGTAGTAATTAAAACAGCATGATAAAGTAAGTAAAGTAAAGGCCCTCCCGTTGATCATCGATTTGCTCGAGCTGGCCCAGTAACGTCTCCATTGGAGACTTTGTTGTTACTGTGTTTGGCATATCGAATACATCACGGGTGTCTTGCCAGGCTCTGCCGTGCGGGCGAGATCCTCTCGGTAGCTTGCCGGGCTCTCCGAGAGGGGCGGAGGACTCGAACTCGGGTCGGCCATGTTGGCTGCGTGCAAGGCAAACGCCCTACCGCTGTGCTATCGCGCTGGAACAGCATGATATTGGGATAAAAACAGACCTCCAGACTAGTGAAATAGCATTGAATATCCTGCCACACACCTGCAAGTATATGATGATTTAATCTTTGATAAGGAAGCAAGAAATGTGAAGTGTCAAGAAGAGCCTCTTTAACAAGTGGTGCTGGTTAAAACTGGAAAGCTACAGTATGCAAAAAAAATGGATGCAGAACTCTAACGCCATGCACAAAAGTCAGATCAAAATAGATTAAAGACCTCAATATCAGATCTGAACCAGTAATGTACATGGAAGGAAACATAGGCAAAACCCTCCACGATATTGAAGTTAAAGGTATCTTCAGAGATGAAATGCCACTGACCAAGCACGTGGAAGCAAAGATGAACAAATGGGTCTATCTTAACTAAGAAGCTTCTGCATCTCAAATGAAACAGTGACCAAGATACAAAGATAGCCTATGGAATGGGAAAAGATATTCACCTAATACCCTTCTGGTAAGGTAAAGGTAAGGTAAAGGCCCTCCCGTTGATCGTCGATTTGCCCGAGCGGGCCCAGTAACGTCTCCACTGGAGACTTTGTTGTTACTGTGTCTGGCATATCCAATACATCACGGGTGGCTTGCGGTGTGGGCGAGATACTCTCAGTAGCTTGCCGGGCTCTCCGAGAGGGGCGGAGGAATCGAACTCGGGTCGGCCATGTTGGCCGCGTGTAAGGTGAGGCGCCCTACCCGCTGTGCTAAGGGGTCAATATCAAAGATGTACAAAGCACTGGTTGAACTTTATAAGAAAAAAAAATCCAGCCCCAACAAAAAATGGGGAGAAGAAATGAACAGAAACTTTCTCAGGAGATTCAAATGGCCAAAAGGCACACGAAAAAATGCTCTTTATCACACATAATCAGGGAGATGCAGATTAAAACAACAGTGAGATATCATCTCACACCATCGAGACTGGCACACATCCAAAAGATGAGAGCAACCAGTGCTGGCATGCGTGTGTGGAGAAAGGAACTCTCCTTCATTGTTGGTGGATTGCTGACTGGTCCAGCTGTGTGTTTTTTGTTTTTTTTTCTTTTTAGGTCACACCCAGCAATACACAGGGGTTACTCCTGGCTCTGCACTCAGGAATTACTCCTGGTGGTGCTCAGGGGACCATATGGGATGCTGGGGCTCAAACCTGAGTCAGCCGCTATGCTATCGCTCCAGCCCCCTGGAGTTTCAGTTTAAAAATCTCAGATTTGGGGCTGGAGCGATAGCACAACGGGTAGGGCATTTGCCTTGCACGCAGCCAACATGGCCAACACAGGTTCGATTCTCAGCATCCCATATGGTCCCCCGAGCACCGCCAGGACTGATTCCTGAGTGCATGAGCCAGGAGTAACCCCTAAGCATCGCTGGGTGTGACCTAAAAAGCAAAAAAAAAAAAAAATCTCAGATTTATTCAAACTTTTCTTCCATAGAGGTCACTGTCACTGTCCTCCCATTGTTCCATAGGTCAAAATCAGTGAACACAGTAACTCATTAACAAATACATTTGCCACTGAGGTATTTAAAGAGTGGAATCTACCTGAATATTCCGGAATGGGGCTTGGAAAAACTGTGGTATACCCATAGTATAGAATCTATATAATACTTTAGAAGAATTTGCAATAACATAAATCTCAATCACAATATGGTGGATAAATATACATGCTTTCAGTAAACTAAATTCAGTAATAGAATAGTATAATATATTTTTATTCTTTTTTAAATTAAGGAATGGAAGTAGGAATGATGGGTCTCATTCTCCTAAAGAGCCTTGAATATAATCTCAGGGCTAGGATGAAGGAGACGTTACTGGGGCCTGCTCGAGGCAATCGACGAATAACAGGATGGTCGTGATTCGTGATTCATTTTAAAATTGATATCTATATAATATCTTTCATCACATATGGTTATACATCACTTCTTGTATAAAATATAGAAATAGTGTTTCCATTCTGGTTTTATCAAGTTTTTATCATAGCATTTAAAGTGCACTTACACCAAACCCACAGACACGCAGCAGAGACGCCTCAGACCTCAGACCAGGCCATCTTAACTGGGGCAACTCAGAGTGGGCAGGTGAATCTGCTGTATAATTGTAAATATATTTATAATTATAAATTTTAGAATTCCTGGAGCGACCTCTTATGCTCTACACCATTGATGTACCAAGAGTAGCACACAACATTTGATGGGTTTAAAGTAGAAGGCGGACTGGAGTAACAGCACAGTGGGTAGGGCATTTGTCTTGCATGCGGCCGACCCAGGTTCGATTCCCAGCATCACATATGGTCCCCCAGCACCGCCAGGAGTGATTCCTAAGTGCAAAGCCAGGAGTAACCCCTGAGCATCGCCAGGTGGGACCCAAAAAGAAAAAGAAAACCTAGAAAAAAATAAAGTAGAAGGCAACCAATCTCATGGGGAATATATATGTATCTACTGATCTATGTATTTAAACACATAAAGCTCAACCTTTTTTTTACTAATTTTTTTTATTAGTGAATCACAATGAGGTACAGTTACAGACTTACAACTTTTGTGCTTGCATTTCAGTCATACAATGATCGCGTACCCATCCCTCCACCAGTGCCTATTTTCTACCACCAATGGACCCAGTATCCCTCCCACCACCCCCGCCCCATCCCCCACCACCCTGCCCCGTCTCTGTGGCAGGGCATTCCCTTTTGCTCTGTCTCTCCTTTTGGGTGTTGTGGTTTGCGATAGAGGTATTGAGCGGCCATCATGTTCGGTCTATAGTCTACTTTCGGCATGCATCTTTCAACCTGAACGAGTCCTCTCAACATCCTTTACTTGGTGCTCCCTTCTCTGAGCTGCCTT